GCCGCAATCCCTTCTCCTCCATTCTCCTCTCGGGATCTTGGGCACGCACACACACATGCCCAGCGTGAGTTTTAAGCCACTGGGTCCGGGACACGAACCGTGGTCGACTATGTGGGAGTCCAGCGACATAGCCATTATGCTAACTGCTGGTTCCTTTTTTTTATTTTTGGAGAGGAAACTGTTCATTCTTAGAATAAAACTACTAAAATAAGACAGGGGAAGATACTTCAAGCCAAAGATGGCAGATACCTGAGAGTATGTATCAAAGTGGAGTAATTAGAAGAGTTCCACTAACCTTATAGGTCAGTGGTTCCTAAACAGAAATCATGGGACTGGGTGCATTAGGTTCCTTTACAGAACTTTATCAAAATATGAACGCCCACCTCTCAGTGCTAGAAGTACTGATTTAGTAGATCTGGGGTAAGGCCAAATTATCTGTTATTTTTCCTAATCTCTTAGGTGATTTTGATAAGCGAGCGGGTTTGCAAGTCACTATACATGTTACAATTCATCTTACACTTAGAGGCCCAGAGTCTAATTGTTCTTTAATAGCCAGTTCTCATCGTTCTATGACACTGGATAAAGAACCTATGCAGGATATCTCTTGCATAAACTACTTTTCCAAGAGTGGGTTCATAATAAATATCTAGATTCTAATTAAGTCCATCAGCAGAAGAAAACTTTCCAAAAGTCCGCATAAACTAAACTGTGCCTGAAAGCATTTTTAAATGCTTTACGTGATGACTGTCACATTAAGTATACCAAGAAAAAGGGAGAGTCTTTTTCAAGATTAAATAGTAGGAGAAATCAAAAGGAGGAGAGAACAGAAGTAAAATTTTGTCTGGGTTCATTATTATCTAACATTCTCACCAGAAGATTGATAAAGTTGTACCATTCTTCACAATAGTGATAGAAGCCAGGCAATGTATAAGCAATATTTGGTTACTTACTTTGCCATTGTTTCTGCAGACAGGTCTTCAGAATTCCTGACTTTTGTTTCACCTAGAAAAAAATTTAAAAATATAAAATTCCCAGGGATAGGAATTATAAAAGCGAGAGTCACACTTTGGACCCAACAGGTGGAGGTTAAAATAGTTGGACCCCACATGGCAGACTGCAAGGTTTAAGTCCTGAGCCTGACAGCTTGAAAATCACACCAGGCAATGTGTGCATGTGTGCCCACCCAAAATCCAGAGAGGAGAATGGAGGAGAAAGGATTGTGGTGTGGCCATCCCTCCAGGGAATGATTTCTCACTTTCCCTCTGCCTCTTTCTCTGTCTCTCTCTGGTAAGCACATGTGCCATATAGGAAACTTGAAACACACACACACACACACACCTCTGGACAATGAAATGAGGAGTTTATAATTTTTTTGAGGGGGAGAGGTGTTTGCTATAGGGTACGTGCGCTTGCCAGAAAGACAGAGAGAGACAGAGAGACAGAAAGTGAGAAATCATCCCCCCAGAGGGGATGGCCACATCGTAATCCCTTCTCCATTCTCCTCTTGGGATCTTGGGCACGCACACACATGCGCCCAGCGTGAGTTTAAGACACCAGGTCTGGGACTTGAACCATGGTCAACTACATGGGAGTCCAGCGATGTAGCCATTACTTTATCTGCTGGTCCCAAGGAATTTATAATTTTTTTTTTTTTTGGAGAGATTTTCACTGTAGGGCGCGTGCGCTCGCCAGACAGGCAGAGAGACATAGAG